ATTATGATGTTAATACAAGGTGTATTACCTTCCCAAATTTACAGATAAAAATTACTGAGATAATAAAATCAATAAATTAATTTATTATTTATTTATGAATTATTAGATATACCCTTGATTTTCAAATTTATTCAGATTATAAGTTTAATAACAGATAAGTTATATGAAGATGACCTAAAATTGAGTAAAAGAACAAAACCTGAATTGCTTCTGCTTCTACTTCATGTGTTAGTTATAAAAATCTTAAGTGTGACTTAGTAATTTTAACTTTTTAGTAAAATCGACTATTTGAGATCTTCACTGTGTTATTTTATGATGTGGTAACTCCGGGTGCAAAACGAAAATCAATAGCCCGCGATCAGAGTAGTGCCGCGAATATGCTGTTCAGCGTGGCGCTAGTAGTAAGGGCTTCTGCTGTCATTTTAAACGGGCTTTCTTTAGTTCCAATTTTCCTCACCTGTATGTAAAATGTTGTTGCCCTTCGCGGTTTGGGTTATTTTTATAACAGTTCGTAGAAACGTCACTATGGAAATAAAAACTTTGTATGCGCTTTTATAATTATTCCGTTTAGTTTACAGGAACATCAGAAGTTTCAGCATCCGAATTCGGTGTTTAATTGTCTTATAGTTACGTTTTCCCAAACAACCACACTTTGTAAAACACAGTTCATTCAGAGTGGCTGACATTGAGGTCGACGTGGTTAACCCTGGTTGAAAGAAACAAATAATATTACGGTTCTACCTAATTCTCTGAAAGGATGAGCCACGTGGACGTTATCCTATCGTCAAGACGTCCATGTTGAAATCCACGTAAAATCACTACACTAAATAGAGTAGGTAATTGTTTTCAGAATCCAAAAAGAGATGACCTCCATTTGAAAAATTGTGTGTACCTACTAATTAACGCTCGTCTTCAGTGTGTGCGCTGAGGCACTTTGCCAAGGTGAAACTCTGCCGCGCCAGGATTATCCTGGCGCGGCAGAGTTTGACGGGTGACGGGATGAGCTCCGGCTCGATCTCATGAGGAAGCAATGTCCTAATCGAGGGTTGCGCTCGTAGTAATAGCAGCGGTGAGACCGCCCTTTGAAAAGTGGCTTGAGAGACGCCACGGCGGACTTACCTTCTGCCTGACGCAGGTGCTTACTGGACAAGGAAGTTTCGGGACGCACCTGTTTCGAATACAGCGGCAGGAAACGCCTGGGAGCCACTGTGAGGACCACCCGGAGAACACGATTGAGCATACGGTAGCGGTGTAGAGTATACCGATACATATGCTTGGGCTGAGCACCGCTGTGTTCTCTGTGTGGAAGTGGGAAGCCGTCTCCTCTTTCTCTGCAAAGCAGTGTTGCTCGCAAAGTAGGAGGCTGCGTATGTGGAGGCACTACTCCTCACGGCCCAGCCGCCGCAGTAGGTAGATTTACATGACTGACTGGGTATTATGTGCACCAGGTTTTTTTTTGTGAGGGGAAAATCATCAAATGACTTCTCCCGCCCAGGGCCGGGCGGGAGGGAGTGTCAGACTCTTACTGACTAAAAACCCCCTGTTCCTTCTCCTGCTCTGGGCCGAGGTCGCGGTGCCTCATTGCGCTTACTGCGCAACCCCGGCTGAACATCAGCCCTTTAGGGCCCCGTCCGTGGTGGTCTATTGGCTCTTTGAGGCGCGCGCGGAACGCTACGCGCCGTACGCTCGGGGCTGGTTGTGGTCGGGCGGCGAGCTACCCTTACTCGCCGACCGCAGACCCGTGCTTACGGTGGCCGGAGATTGTCCCTCGATCCCCGACGCCCGTAGTGTCGCCAGTTGCTTACTTAATAACTTCAAAAGAGAACGAGACGAGTTGAGAAAAATGAGAAAACTCATAATTTAGTCTATGGCCGATGCTCGCGCATAGGAAAACTGGTTAATTTTCCCGCCAGTACAAAATATTTTTCACAATTTATTCTTCTCGTTTTCTCTTTTAGTTGATAATAATGATGGGATGAAAGGATGTCTGCAAAAACCGCCCGATGTGACTCCCTTAACGTTATAGTAAGTCTACTACCGGAAAACTCCAAGAAAAATATCTATTATTTATGTAAGTATTATTCTATACAGAAATGAATTAAAAAACGTCGTATGATACACGTGTGTATTGATGATTACCGCCTTCGGCTCCTTAAGACCCTCGCCTAACAGCTCGAGGCCTCAATGCACCTCAGCAGTATCTAATCACCAACAATAAATACTTGTACCATAATGTAGGTACTATTGTTATAATCAATAAGTAACTCCAACTTGTTTTTTTCTGCGATTACGTAGTTACTTTGTTCCTAGAAGGCAATACTACCATGCAGCTTATATATTGTAGTCAAAACCATGAGGATTTACTCTAGTTTTTTTTTTAAAGTGCAATAGATAAACTAACTAAAAAATTACTAACGTCAAGGCGTCAAAGTCAAGACAGCGGTTTGTTTACACGTTATAACAATAAAATCCAAATTATATAGTGATCATGAGCACATATCCTCAACATGGAGATATTTTGAAGAGTGGCCATCCTTATTACCCAGAAAGTAATGTCGCAAAATATGGCGGTTACGATCCTGACAAGTAAATTTAGACTCTAAACAACTAAACTAAGAGTTTTGTTTTCCAGTGGGCAGTTAGTAGTGTGCCTTCCATTAATCATACTCAGATTAGGTGTCATGTAAACCCATTGTTATTATGCATATTTTCAGTGCTACTGAAAACGGTAAATTAAATGATAACTCTCTTATACTCAGCTTATTTATAACTATACGGTTTCCCGCCAAAAATCGTTATATGCTGTTAAACAAAATCTGTTATATGCTGTTCACATAACAGATTTTTTATTGTTTTAAATTTTGCGCGCTCCTCATAGAGTCAATAGCCCACCACAGATGGGCCCCTCTAGGGATGTCACTCGGGGTTACGGTTCAAGCACAATAATGTAATGTGTTTCGCAAACAGTAGTGTTTTAATAAGTATGAGTATCTTTCTTGCGCAAACCAAAAGCTTCTATTATAATCATGCATATGATCTCACCATACAAGGGCGTCGAAGAGTAGGCCATGGTGCGGAGTGTAGCGGCACTATCACGTCGCTACATTACTTAGATACGATAGAGATAAGACATACATGTTAATTGTTGCACGTTTGTTAGGATAGCTAAATCTGAAAATCTCACGCATCTTCTTAGTATATAAGCACCAGCAATTAAAGTAATAAACAGACCTTAACCATCTACAGTCTCATTATTTACCTTGCCACGAAGTCTGGCAAATTGGTGACCCGACGAAGAACAATCAACATGACTCATTCACCCTGCAAATCAAGCAGCAGCCAACAAGAAGCCTTGGAGATATCAGCCGGAACCGCCATTTTATCCCGTATTCCGGAATTTTGGAGGGACCAACCCAGATTATGGTAGCACCACAGAAGCAAGGAGACGATTACAAGTACTATACGGTCATTGCAAAACTGCCAAAAGAAGAAATAATACAGGTTAGTGACCTCATTACTTGCCCACCGCCAATAGAAAAGTACAAGGCTATCAAAGAACGCCTAATCAGTTGCTATGAGGAATCAGACCAACGTCAGCTCCAAAAATTATTGTCTGAAACGGAAATATCAGCGACGAAACCATCAAACTTCTATGGTTGAGGCTTCTGCCACCATCAGTGACTTCGGTTCTAGCAGTCACAGAAGACATAGATGTGAACAAGATGAGCCAGATCGCGGACAAGATATTAATAAATTCAACACGTACAGAGGTGTCAGCTGTAAACGGAAACAAATCTGGCGACGATACAATGTCATGCATACTAGCACAGTTAGCAGAAATGCAATTGGAACTAAATGCAATTCAGCAAGGTCAAAAAAACTATCGACGCAGCACTCAAAGTTATTCCAATCGTCGGCATTTCCTACCACAGTCAAGTTCAAGAGAAAGAAGGCACTTTTGTTTTTACCATGGAAGATTTAAAAAATATGCACAAAAGTGTGTTCAACCTTGTGATTGGAAACAGGATCTCAACTCAAGGAAACAGGGAAACTAATTGAAGCACGGACAACGGCGGAACTCTGTGCTATTCACCCGTCCAACCGCCTCACTATTACCGACCGAAAAAGTGGTATGAGATTTTTGATTGACACGGGAGCAAATATTTCAGTTATTAGCAAGTACAAGATGAACAATGTATACTTTATGCCGCCAATGGTACAAAAATTAAGACATATGGTGAAAAAACACTCTCTTTAAACTTCGGGCTACGAAGAAACTTTGTATGGAACTTTGTCATCGCCGATGTAACACAACCGATTATTGGAGCAGATTTTTTAGAGCATTATAAGCTATTAGTCGATATAGCTGGTCGAAAACTCATAGATAGGGTAACTGAGCTGACAACGCCCGCAACCCTGATCAAATCGACGCAGCAAACAATCCGCACTATTAACATTGGACAAATCCTCATCACAATTGGCATCCTTCTTCTCTACGGAATACTGAAGACCTTAGACAGAAGAGTGAAAACAATAGCAAGAAACAATCAGCACAAATGCAGTGGATAGTTCATCGACTGCCGCCGCCGTCACAACAAAGGCAGCAGTTTTTATTTCGTTCGAATTAGCAACAATGACATTACATTACGCATAGGATGTAATTTATCAGCAAGGTTAAGTTATTATATAATTAGGTACATACTAATTTTTTTCAATTTATATGTTAATTATTTTTAAAAGGGGGGAGTATATGTAGCGGCACTATCACGTCGCTACATTACTTAGATACGATAGAGATAAGACATACATGTTAATTGTTGCACGTTTGTTAGGATAGCTAAATCTGAAAATCTCACGCATCTTCTTAGTATATAAGCACCAGCAATTAAAGTAATAAACAGACCTTAACCATCTACAGTCTCATTATTTACCTTGCCACGAAGTCTGGCAAACGGAGTGAGAGGAACTGGGACGCCGTCGCCTCCTTTTGTGAAGCAGTCATGCTCGCAAAGAGAGAGGCGGCCCGCGTGAAGGAGCAATCCTCCTCCTCACCCCAGCCGCCGCAACTGGCGACACTACGGGCGTCGGGGATCGAGGGACGATCTCCGGCCACCGTAAGCGCGGGTCTGCGATCGGCGAGTAAGGGCAGTCCGCCCGACCAGAACCAGGCCGGCCAGGCAGGTTGCGGGGTAAGCGCAATGAGGCACCGCGACCTCGGCCCAGAGCAGGAGAAGGAACAGGGGGGTTTTTAGTCAGCGAGAGTCTGACGCTCCCTCTCGCCCGGCCCTGGGCGGGAGAAGTCATTTGATGATTTTCCCCTCACAAAAAATAAAGGGCGTCGAAGAGTACTTTGCACCTGATCTCTTTCTAATTTCTCTCAGTAGGTAAGTTCAACTTACTTTATTTTTTAATATTCCCAGATATGCTCTTGCCGATGTATCTAAAACCATTGCAACGCACGAGTCCTTGAAGCCAGGATGTGCACCCCACTTGACTCAATATTGCATCGCCAAATATCTGGTACCACTCTCAAAAAGTCTAACGGAAGTGCCAGCAAGGTAAGCAAGCAATCCTTATTTTGAAGTTATACCTACTAGGCAAATACTTTAAGTATGAACTTCAATTACGTTCAGAACTAGGAACATTAGTCAGACATACCTACTTATGTTTTACCAATATTTTCGATAATTTCTTAAATCTTATCAGGCATACAAGTACACCACTAACAAATGAGAGATGATAGTGTGTAATATATGTAAGTGAGTTCAATATAAGTTTTGTTATAGTATCCCAACGCTATCATTTTTATAGGCCGACGATAAGCGAGCTTCCCGATGCTGTTATAGATCATATGGTTACAAAAGACAAGGCTTTCTGGGTGGACAAGCCAGGCCTCAACGACTACACCATACATGATGCCTACAATCAGTACGGGATATTCCCAGATGTTGTGAGGCCAAGTAAGATGAACTGTTTACAAAAAAGATTGGATTCATAATATTTCCAAAATGATATTTTAATATTTAAAAATGTTATAGTTGCACCATGTGAAAGCCATGCGGTCATGAAACGACGCTCAGTTACGTTGCATTTCGCCATGTGACTGCGGTTATGGGATGCACATTTCTCCCAGGATTGTGCATCCTATCCCCGACCCCTAAATTCAATTCCTCAATCCGTAAATCACTAGCCATTCTAAAGGCAATTCTCTTGAAACTCTTCTTGTATTTAAGATATCCACATTTACATAAAAAATATATATAATGATAATGAACGTTCATTTTTACCAATGACGACATAACCACCGTATTTATATCCTCTTTGATTTTTACTGACAGTTCCACAGAATGTATTTCCACGTTCGTACCAGTACGACCTGGACTGCGTCAGGTACCGCAGATCCACAGCTTGCGATGGTCTTAAAGACACGGATGGGAAACCAAAAGTAAGATTTCTATTTCTAACGTAACGGTCTTAAGCTTGCAAGTGTTTTAATATGACACCCTGACAACATGCTTCCAGCTAGTTCCACTTTAGCTGGAAGTATGTTGTCAGTGTTGGAAGTGTACCTACAATTAAAAAATAGCGTCTTATTTATGTCGGCATGGAAGCAAGAGAAGAAAGGAGGTGGTGTTAGCTAGTAAATGTCTGAGCACTCTCTCTCGCCCCGGTATCTTATCCCGGTATCATAATTAGTTAACGAACTTAACAAAATTTGTAAAATGAGTAAATTTAAATAATAGAATTTATGTCCATAAGGTACTTACCAATAATGTCCTCAAGTGCAACAACAAGAGCAAAGTTTTTAGTTGAATCTTTCGAATAACGTCCTAAAAGTTCCGAATAGCTGTTACTTTGTTTTTAAAAACACTCCTGAATTATATAAAAGAAGATTTAAAAACCTTTCTGAATTATTTTAAATGTTTACTTCAGATGATCTTGCATTGAAGAGGGTGTAAACATAACTGAACTTCGCTCCCACATTTAATCCTTTATAAACATTCCTGAAAAATGAAATCTTTTCTACAAGTAATAAAATTGACTCATTCTCTAATAATAAAGATAATGGTGTGTCAAACATGTAACTTAGGTTACAAAAGGGTCCTTCTTTGTTGTATATAATAGACACATGTCAAACTGTAAAGCTTTTACGCATTGTTGTGCAGAAACCTCTTAGCGCCCACTGTCGCGACTGTCGTAAGCTGCATATACCACCCTTGACGCCATTTCAACTCGCGTGGGCCAAGGACACAGGACAAAAGCGATGGAGGTATTATCCAGACTTGACCGCCACCTTGACGCGAGAAGAAATTCGAGCCTCAATGGATAAGTAAATGCACTTGTCATATATCCCATCGTTTTCTCCATTAAGGGAGTATTTTAAACAAAGCCTTATTATTTTCTATTTATTTTGTAAAAGCCTTTGTGCTCTGAACCCTTTGTTGGCTGCGTGTAGGTTGGATCATGGCCAATGCGGTGTTGAATTACTATGTGGAATTACTTTAAATTAATCAACAACGCATACATACATAGCAGTAGTATTCTGACTCTTATAGCTAAATTGGACAATGACAAGTAAGATGTACTGATCTTGATAAATACAGGAGCAGATAGTACCAAACCGTCATTCCATCTTTGTAGTAGCAACAAACTACTTTGTTTCAGTTTTTGGCGTAATCTAACGATCCTGATGAATAATACTCGCAGTGTACCTTGTAACTCTCCCCTATTCTAGCCAAAACTCCGGAAACTTTATGTCTAGAGTCAAATCACCGTCGATCATTTTAAGCCCAGTAGTTGCACTTTACCATTAAAGATCGTGCAAGCAGCCAATGAATAAAACAATTTAAAATGCAATTAATTGTTTAGAAAGGATTGAACAACGGTTATCAAGAACAAAATTCCAATCATACTTCTTGATCATCGACTTGTCGTTTCATCCGCCACGTACGATGATCACGAATCTAATGCATATAATGATTATTTTTTAAATAGTAAGTCCATTTACCTTTTATTATGTTACAGTGTTGGGCGTCCATTTCAAAACGAAGCATGCAACTGGTACTACAAGAACTACCCTCCCTTTAAATACGAATGCATAGTCCGCAAATTTTCTAAATGATCGTTACATTCTTAAGGAAGACAAAATATGATAAAAATCTTGTAATAAAGTTATTCTTAAAACTTGTGTTAGCTATTTCAATATTTGACCTTTGGTGTTCCAGACTTTGAAGAGGGGTAGTTTAAGGATTTTTTGATACTTGATTTGACTTACCTAAAAATGCTAAATAAACACAGTGAGGTAGCTCAACGGAACATAACGTTGCTATATTGATTAGATTTTGAGCAAGAACTAATATATATAACTAATCACTTAAAATAATATAATTGTTTTAAGTGATAAGATCTATGGTAGAGTTCACGTCATTCCTCGTCATTAACAGACCGTTTTATTTCACTCACTTTTATATATCTATAAGCTTGTCCCGTAGTACGTAATAAAAATTGTCTTCAGTAGGGTGCGCATTGAAGACAATCTTACAATACAAAAGACTTCAGTCACAGTATCAAAGAAACATTTCGGAACTTCATAGGATTCATACATATCCTCTCATACGATCACTTTTGCTAGTAGGTACTGCCCCTTCGAAAATAATTAAAACTCGTGTCATCGTTATGTTTGATTCAAGAATTGAACTCCTCAAATATCTACTATAACTACCTGCAAGGTAACTCTTATAGTTGCTCAGTTGCTCATTTTGGCCTGTTACTAAGTGGACTTGAAAATATGATGTTTTTCAACATTCAACCTGCGCGATATCAGCATAGAGCAAAGTGCAGAAGAAAATATTGTTTGTGTTATTGTCTGTGAAAGAATTACATTACAATTCTTTTGTTCGTGCCAAATGTCAAAATTATAAATATGATAAAACACCTTTAAAAATAATAAAGTTAAAAATTCCCATCCCCTATCATAACGATGGCAAAGCAGGACGATGGCCTCTTTCTCCTGGAGGTACTTATCGATAAGATAGTATTTGTCAAGAGCCCTTGCTTCTCTGACAAGGACTTCAGAACCTGTGTGACTATAGAAACTCCATCAGTCCAACCGCTAGAAATATGTGACGATGATCCTGGAGCATGTGTAGCCAAAAGTGGAGGGCCTTTTGTGAAAACTTTTAACAGCGGCAAATCATGTCTGTTTTCACTCCAAGAAGCAGACATTACCAAAGCAATGAGTAGCTTTCCTATAAAAGTATCAGTATTCAAATCACTTCCATGCGGTTGTCTTCCTACGAAAATCATAATGGGAGAAGCTACAATAGATATGACAAAGGAATTTGTACAGTCCCGTAAAACGTTTTTAGAAGATCCCACGAATGTGAGCTATCAAGCTTTGAAAGACTCATTTCGTATCGTCGGTCCAGACGGAACCGAGACCGGTGAAGTAGTCATGTTTTTACGCATCTCCTGTTTTGGAAAGCTAATTATTACACGATTCCAAGGTACAAGTGCGCCCCCTAAGTTAGGAGGCAGTCGTGGCCCTTCTATTGTTGACAGATCATGCAATCCAAAGAGAGAATTCCAAACGTCTCAAGATCCTTGCGTTTGTGGTGCGGCACAAGCAGCTGCAAGCAGTAGAGCACAGAGCTCGGTACCCTGTACCGCTCCATGCAGGACACCTGGTGGAAGTGGTCGCGGGGTTTGTCCAATAGGTAAGATTTTTAGGTTAAAGTATTGAGTTGTCAGCTAAATAGCACTTACTACCCCTCTTTTCGGGGATCGAGATCTTCGGGCACCATAAGCGTGGGTCTGCGGATGGCGTGTAACGGTAGCTCACCGCCCGACTAGAACCAGACCAGAGCGTACGGCGCGTAGCGTTCCCCGCGCGCCTCAAAGAGCCAATAGACTATTACAGACGGAGGGCTGACGTTCAGCCGGAGTTGCGGGGTAAGCGCAATCGCCTCGGCGACCTCGGCCCAGAGCCTGAAAAGGAACGGGGGGAGGGTGGGGGGGGTTAGTCAGTAAGTCTGACACTCCCTCCTGCCCAACCCTGGGCGGAAGAAGTTATTCGATTATTTTCCCCACACAAAAAAAAAATTAAAACAACCACAGCGTTATGTTTCCAATCCCATAATTTCCGAAACCCTAATTCTAAAAGGGCGGCAACGCACCCGTAGCTCATCTCGTATTGCGAGGTGTTTATGGGCTAACCATAAGGCAATATGTACATTTGCACGGTTGCTGCAGTAAAACAGAACAGTCTATTCAAGTCACGCGTCGCTTGCGCAGGTACTCGGCCTGCAAACACAGTGCCGTTCGCACACGTCATGTAACCTCTCCGCCTTACCGCCCATCCATACGCCAGTTGCGCGAGAAATAAACGTTTTGCCTGAATTATATTAACTTGCCGTGTTGCTATTATGATAATTAAAGCTTTAAATTATAAAAAAGTGAATCACCTGCACTAAATGATCATAACAGAGAACAGATTTTATTATTATTGTATCATTTTGCCTCTAATACTATAGTGTTAACTTTTAATTGTGGTGTGCTAATCGTTTCTCCACCTCTTAAAGCATGCTCATTTTTCCAGCTCAAGATCCATATAGTACTATGCCATGTGAAGATCCAGACGACCCTTGCTTCTGTTCAGGTTCTAAGCCTCCTCCAAAACCACCAATGATGTGCAGAAATACTGAACAGTACTGTTTGCATATACCCAAAGGTGAGGACCAAAACAATTAATAATAATAACAAATAATTATTGGATCAACGATATCTTTATCACTTTAAATTTTGATCCAATAATTTCTTAAGTAATTTAGGGGTTTTTTCCTTTCACTTATGCTTAGTATAAGAGGTAATGTTTTGGACAAAATGTTGTAATATAGATATAATAAGCGTTTATACGATTTCTGAATGCATGAGAATCAATTTGTTGATGGCCAGGTCCCAGTAAACAATTTGAAGAGATAGGCTCCAATTTGGGTGGCAACGAACTAAAGATTAAAGTACCTGTCAGCGCGTCTGTCATCAAGAAGATCAGTCAAACTCACTGTTCAATGCAATGTCCGTACGACAAAAAGTCATCAGATCAGGGCCCTTGTGTTCCACCATGTGGGAAAAATAACATCAGTTTAGCGCTGCCGGCCGAGCCTATATGTTGCCTCGGCATGCGGCCGCAAGAAACACAATTCAGTTGTACCACAGAAGGATGTATCCAGACAACAAAGCATGGCCAACAGGCTTTGTACGGTCGAGGCGACACGAAGAATGAATATCCCAACAAAGATGTGTTTGTATTAAAAGTGGCAAAAACAGCTATGCAGGGTGATAAAAAATGTAAACTAGAACTGGAACTTGTTGCACCTAAGGGTCCAGATAAAAAGCTACCAGTCGGTAAAGCAAACGCAAGAATCGCAACTGATCCAGAATGCGAATGTTGCTGTCGAAGAATGAAAAATCCTAAGGGGACCAAAAAGAAACGATAAAACTTGTACTTTGCTACTATTGCCTTTTATTTATTGTTTCAAAATTGTAATTATTCTTCATCACTCAAAAAATAATTATAAATATTCTTATAATTATTTTCTATATTAATTTTACTTAAATATTATATAGTTCTTTCCCCTGATAAATCAACAAATTGTGCAGATTGCTGCCCGCCGGGGAACAAGGTCATATTCCAAATGCCTTCGGACAGCTGCGGTATGAACCACAAGCAACGAGCTCACTATACCTACACATCTGAAGGAGTGGGAGATGTATCCCGGGACGATCCACAACAACTTGTGCCAACTACGGCTGAGGATTACCCCGGGGTCGTATATGACTTTCCAACACAAGTGATTAAGCTTCGCATTGGAAAGATTATAGAAATGCCAGGTCGAAAATCTAAATTGGAATACCAATTCATTACACCTGCTGTTAACAATGAAAAAGTCATACCCACCATAGACACTCGCACTGCGCAATGTGTACCCCCCTCTCCTGAGGGTTGTCCTAAACAGAAACGTCAACTGTAACGTGTTAAATTTGCGTTATGTACCTAACAATATATTTATTAAATGTTTATTCAAGTGAACAGGTTGTTTCTTTTTTAATTTAATTTTGTTGATAATTTTGTTTAATAGACTCTGTTAAATTAAAACTGGTGCCTAACTGATAACTAACTGTATTGATTTTTAACATGAATAAAATGTCGTCAACTCGTCCTAGGTGCGCTGTCGAGCTTGCCGATTTATCAAGATTTGACTGAAGAACAAATAATGAAAATTAAATCAGCAAAGGAATTGAAACTGCTTCACAGAGAAGACCATTTCATCAATGAATTCAGTACTGGATCTTCGATACCGTGTTCTGAAACAACGACTGTAGTTGAAGACTATTCACAACCATTTCGTGAAAATATAAAGTTCTCAGATGAGTCCTTTCAAACAAAGTTCGATCGTTCACTAACTTCACTGTGTACCATCAGGTCTAAGAGGCGCAGCGTATCATTTTCCGACAAGGTAGATTATGTTTCTAAGTATTACAGCCACTTCTCGCACCATCGAAAGAGGTCTGACACACCTAAGAGCATATTCAATAGAAAGGAAACTGCCGTTTATATGACGCTGTTTGATGAGTTCTGCCGCCATCGCACATCAGGAACACAAGCTACAGCTTCAGTTAACAAATGTTTCCAAGCGTCTCACAGTAACTCCTCTAGCTATAATACCACCTGTTGTTTTGATCAAAATGCTAGTAATAGTTCGACTTTGAATTCTTCGACGTTACCTTATGACAGCCGAAGGCAGTCAATGCAAGACAACCGCGTAAGATATTCGGATATATATTATTTTGGGAAAAAGAATAATAATAGTAAGGGGATGGGATCTAAAAAAACCGCACAAGCTGGAGTCAGTGCTTCTGCTCCTAAAGAACTAGTACGATCAAGTGCCGCCTCCGTGCAGGCAAATACGTCCAATAACTCTGTGGCTGCCCAAACTAAAAAAGTTTCTGCCGTGCCCAATAATGGAAAGACGGTTTCAATTAAGGAAAAACCTTGCCCAGGTACTATTGGTGTCACCAAGGGAGATATGTTTGCTACTGTCTCTCATATAAGAATTGGACCCCGGGAACCATGTCCAGTTCATGGTAAAGAGCCATGTCAAGGCCCAAAGTGTATGGTTGCTGCATCAGGTCAGGATGATCAGGTGCCTGTTAAAGTTTCTACAGTGAGTAATCCCCGCCGAGGTGTTTTTGAATTAGTAATTCGTAGGATGAATGGAGCTCCACTAGCGAAGAATGAACTAATGCTAGAATGGACCCCGCCGCCAACTCGCCCACCTAATTGTTTTTCACCATGTGTCATGACCTGCCTTCCTCGTTGTCGAACATCAAAATGCAAGATAGATTGCTGCCACTCGCCTTGTAGGCCCCCTAGATGCTGTAAAAAGTCTTGTAAGAGGCCTTGTGGTCCTCCATGCGGATCGCCGTGCGGGCCACCATGCGGGCAGCCATGTGGGCAACCGTGCGGGCAGCCATGCGTGCTGCCGTGTGGGCCACCATGCGGCCTGCCATGCCGAACTCCCTGTCGAACACCTTGCAGGAGGCCTTGCAAATCACCATGCAAATCACCTTGCAAATCTCCCTGCGAGACGCCTTGCGCAATACCTTGCAAAACGCCATGCGCAATACCGTGCAAAACGCTTTGTGTAGTACCTTGCAAAACATCTTGTGCAATACCTTGCAAAACACCTTGCGCAATACCTTGTAAAACACCTTGCAGAACACCTTGCTCAAATCCTTGTAAAACGCCTTGCTCGAATCCTTGTAAAACGCCTTGCGCAATAACATATATAACGCCTTGTTCAATACCTTGTAAACCGCCTAACGCAATACCTTGCAAAGCGCCTTGTTCAAAACCTTGTAAAACGCCTTGCGCAAAACCATGTAAAACGCCTTGCGCAATTCCTTGCGCAATCCCTTGCGCATACCCTTGCACAATACCTTGCAAATCTTCTTGCAAAACACCATGTAAAACCTCTTGCAAAACACCATGTAAAACACCATGCAGAAAGTCACGCACAATGCCTTGTCGAGCGCCATGTCGAGTTCCATGTCGAGTTCCATGTCGAGTACCGTGTCGGGTGCCATGTCGGGTTCCATGTCGGGTGCCATGTCGGGTGCCATGTCGGGTGCCATGTCGGGTTCCGTGTCGGGTGCCATGTCGGGTGCCGTGTCGGGTCCCGTGTCGGGTCCCGTGTCGTGTCCCGTGTCGGGTGCCATGTCGGGTGCCATGTCGGGTCACGTGTCGGGTCCCGTGTCGGGTCCCGTGTCGTCTGCCATGTCGGGTGCCGTGTCGGGTGCCATGTCGGGTGCCGTGCCGAGTGCCGTGTAGAGTGCCGTGTAGAGTGCCATGCCGTACAGCGCCATGTAAGAAGTATTGCAAAGCAACTTCTTGCGGAAAACCTCGTAAACCTTGCAGACCTTGCATACCAAAATCAAAGTGTAAGCCTTGTTTGCCATTACCGCGATGTCGCAGTTGCACATCATCTCCTGTATGCAGGCGATGCGAGTCTGTAACAAGGTGTCAGCCTTGCCCTCCATCACCACGCTGCAGCCCTTGTTTACCGCTACCGTGCGATAGTATCTGCGGGCCGTGTGCCTCGCCCTGCGAGGAATATTGTAGTAGCTCACCCTGCACTACACCTTGCAAAAGTTCACCTTGTTTGAGGCCATGTCCTGTTGGATATAAGAAACCTCGTAAGAGTCGCAGTCATCCGAAAATAAAAGCTCATCGAAAATTAATATCTCCATGCCAAAATCGCGCCAAAACATGTCCAGTGGTTCGGTGTCGCAGCGTGCCCAACCCATGCCCAGGTTGTTGTACTATTTCTCCCTGCCCACCGAGAAAATGTTGCTCGGTCTTTCCCTGTCGGCCCCGCAAGTGTTACCCAGTGTTTCCATGCTCACCGCGAAAATGCTACGTGGCTCCCTGTCCGCCTCCAAATTGTTGCCTGTTATCCTGCCCACCTCGGAAATGTTGCCTTCCAACACCCTGTACACCGCGAAAATGTTGCTCGAAATCTCGCTACAAGCTAAGTCCCAATTGTTGCAAGAGTACCTGCGCAAACTGCTGTCCATGAAATTAACAAAGAAACACGGGATTTTTTACAGTCATGATAACTAATGAATATGTTACTATAAGATATGGTGGTTTCTGAAGTGTACTTGATAATATTTTAAAACACGCTAAAATATTGGCACGATCGTCACACAATTAAAACGTATTTGCATCAGAAATCTCAATTTCATGGTCCTACAAAAATTCACACACTACATACCCAGTGTCGAAAGCAATGAAAAGTTTATCAACAAATATGTTAGATATTCGACTAATAAAATTAATTTCCTACAGAGTGTTATTTGTTATGTAACCTATACGTACATAATATAGCAAAACTTTACAGGTGTGACTATATCTGACGAATACATGAACAGACGATGCCTTAACGCAATTGTGAGAGGTAGGTTCTTTGTAGAAAATATGTGCACAAATTTTTACGTAGGGCCTTAAAGTGGAAGCTAGTTTTGTTGGCATGGAAAACTTGACTGTACTTTAAAAAAAATGCTGTTTATATTTTTATCAAAACATTGCCAATTAGGGGAAAATAATTTTTTGGGTAAGTTGATACCAAAATCTACTCTTCAGAATCTTCATCGGTTATTACAAATCCTATTATTGGTGACCATATCAGGGAACTAGATCATTGGATATGTCATCGTGTATTTTGTCACTGCTTAACAACAAAAGATATTTAAAATTACTTAATAAAAATATAAATATACTTGCGTCTATTGATAAAGTAGACGACTGCCGTTTTACATTAAACATCAAAAAACGTTGTGTGAAGTGAAACTCTTTACAATGTGACTTTATGAAAATGTTTCAAGTATGTCTCATCTATGTAGTTACTGACTAGGCACGACTGCAGATCAATTTGAAAACCCCGTCGTTTATTTTATGGTTGACGCAGCAGTCGGAAAACCTACTTAGTTAAGATACGAAATGCCTTAAACTCGGATCACCAGAGCAACCAGCGGCTAGATAATCAGATCGATACAAATCTGAATCTCTTCAAAGTTCCATTCTTGCTGACAAAGTCAGAAGACCATTTCCTGAATTACTGGAAAACAATTGTTCTCAGTGCGGCCGAAAGCACCGTATGCTAAATAGCAGAATACAAACAGTATTTGCTAGTCGTTGAACTTTCACCCGCTCTTTGCCCACCGTACACCTCGTGAGACCACCTTGGTGTGCAGCGGGAAATATAAAATTACCTCCGCCTTTATTATCAAAACTCTTTATATCTGAAGAGCAAAGAGATTACCTAATGATTAAAACATATTATGCATTACGATGTTCTCCTCTGTCTTCTACTGATTGTAAACGGGTGTCATGAAGTGGTAATTTGAGTTCAGGAAAAAGCTCAGAATACAGAACAAACCAGAATCCGCGTTCACTTATAATTGCATGTCGTCAAATGTGTCCAAAAACAATACGTCAATCCCCCCGCCAGCCGCACTTCCCACCCGCGTAGTGTTGCCGGCAGTGGAACAATTCCCTTGGTTTGGGGTAATTTTACAACAGGAGGGTAAGATATTATTGAATAAATTTATTTTATTTTATTTATAAATAAATTTACGATAAATGCAATAGACTAGTTGTTCACACATTTCATGAAGGTATCATAAAAGTTGACGATTTCTGGCTGTGTTAATATTAGTTACACCTTTACACAACAAATAAAACAAATCTTCAATAAGTGCGAAGGTTTATTGCGTTCCCTTTTGCTGGTTTAGTTTTTTTATAATATGTCAGACTCGGAACTAAAGATTAGAAGTCTACTTACTTTACTTAGTTCCTGAGATTAGCGCATTCAAGCAAACAAACAAACAAACTCTTCAGCATTATAATTAGTATATGTAGATATCTACATATACTATCTACATATATCTACATAGATATCTACATATACTATCTTAGTAGGAAATGCTGTTTTCAAACCACCTTTGTCATAAATTTATCTCTTCAAAGTGATTTGAGCCAACTATGCTCTGGCTAGATGGTTTCCAAAATTAATCTACCCGTGCCCTTTGTATGACTTTTATTTTTTTTGTTAGTCGGCAGGGAAACTAACATGACATAGGCTAGGCATAATGGACAAAAATATAACTCACAACAAATAAATAAGTCGGTAAAATTTTCACCAAAAATGACAACCCTCACAAAATGGCCGCATAATTTTCATAGAAAAATAAATCGATAAAAAAAATTCAATAATTAATTAAATACACTATTGCAGTCGATGCTTGCAGATGAAATGTAATCTTATTCACTTTTTTCGTAATTCCAGCCGTATTTTTACTCGCAGGAATAACACAAGACGGCATAATTAAATTAAAATTGATACTCGTAAATACGTCACGAAATGCCACGTGCCAAAATTGACTGATCATAGAAATTTCATACTACTCCAGTTATGAGTGGTTTTAGTTGCTACAGTTTGAAGCGCGATGACGCCTTCTGGTTTGTTCTGTATTCTGAGGGAAAAAGATAGAATTCGGCTGGACCCATATCTGCTGCTGCTCCGGTGGCCATGTGCGAAGGCATGCGCCTTCGTACAAGGCCATCATTGTGAACGAATTTTTGACCTAACACTCAAGACTAACTTGTAGCACGATAGAAACAAAATTGCAGGATTTATGGACATTTTACTGATAGGCAATGTATTTGCCAATCTTCGGTCAAGGTCCATCTTTATCATTTTTTTCATCCGTAGAAGAGAAGCCTCTCTCCAACCCACACCAGATCCTGGTGGTAAATCGTGGTTGCTCACGAGACGTGGCAACTTTGAGAGCCAATTATGTTCATTTAAATATTTTGACTCCCCATGGTCCTAATGTTCAAACCATATACTCTGGCTAGATAAATTAAATGTTCCATCAGGTAAAGTTAATAGTGTTTTAGTGTTTTCATGGTTGTATCTACGCCGGGCTTTGTCTCCTTATTGAACATTAGTAATTACAAAAGAAACATGACACGCAAACTACTTTTGTGCTGCTAGAGATAAAACTGGTGGGTCAAACCCAACGCGATGTTTCCTAGAGTCGACTTACGTCGACGCGATAATTTGTTTTGAAAAAGTATACAAAATGCTGTCTGAAGAAGGTAGATGAGGTGAGGTGCAGAAGGGTAAACTTCAAAATTATTAGCGTAGGTACTGCAGAGTTGGCCTTGGAAAATGGTATAGGGTTCACACTATACCATTTTCCAAGGCCAACTTTGTGCCTCGCGTGCTGTGGCATTCAGAATACGAAGTAGACCTTTATGATGATATGGATGAAAACCTGAGTTTCCTCAGAATAGTCTAGAGTACCCCAAACTTAAACTCCCCAGGTGTTTCATAGCGTTTACAATAAAAGGTATTCTGAACCAAGCGCTCTGCAACAACAACGTAACACCGAAAAGCTAAATAAGGGAGAACATTATAAACAATATATGAACATTATAAACAACATCACCACAGCAGCGAGTATCGTTTCATTTCCTCTCAGAAGAAATATGCCCGAATTCAGTCACAACTCGGGAAGCTATGTTGGTTTGAGAAATTCAATCCAACCACCAGCAGGAGCCGCCGTCACTTTTGTCCTCCAAAACTTAAGCAACCTGCCATTTCCAGAGAGCGCGTTACTAGAAACAACAAAGCAAGTCAACTTGCTGACTTGCAAAGAAATTCTGCAGACTGACTTAGATTGCGAGAAGCATCCATATCCGCAAACAGTAAATCTAGAATATTGAGAGGACCTTTCGTCGTAGTACGAGGGCTTATACCGCTACCACAGGATTTGTATGTCTTAGCAGAGGTAAGACTGGTTGGAATAATGTGGAGTAATGAAATTTAGAACACCTTCCGACGACTCCTTAGGGGGGAAGGTGGACTAGGATTACGTTAAACGTCTCGTTAACGGTCTTGAAAATGACAAAATCCATTTCAGAATCAAGGCCGGGCGGCGTGGCGTACCTAACCTTTGAAGACTGGAATATTCCATCGTTCTATTGGACAAAGCAAGTCCTAGGGTGTGGCAGACCTACCTGGATATGAACCATCAAATTTTAAGCAAAAAAAAATTGACACTTCAACAAAAGAAATAGCAAATGACCTGAGAGGCAAAGTATGCTATCGGGGGTTAGTCAAATCTAAGGTACGAATAATTGCGTTCCTATTACTGAATGGATTAAAAGAGCGAGAGAGCTGCCATTGAAATATGGAAGATAAGGCTCTTAGAAATCACTTCGGGGCTGGCTCTATAGCTAAGGCCAAAGAAGCGCTATTGATTAGTGATATAAATAAACTTCCCTTCATTGACCAAAACAGCCTCTTCACCCTCATTTACACCCATCGCGGCTATAAGTCAGGCATTTCTCTAACAAATCCCAAGAATGTGGCATACGCAACAATGTACTGCGACATAAATTCGTCCAAACCGAGTGTGAGAACCCAAAGAGAGTTTTTTTTAAGTTAATAAAAAAAACTCGGGATACCAAAATCACCGCCGAACGCGCTGTACCTACGTAGTACACAAATAGTAAAGGAATCCGTAAAGAGTAGGGATGTCGCAGTAAGATAGATGTAGCCGAAATATAGTTATATCCCTAGGGATATAATTATATACGGGAACATAGTTATACGAAAGCGATTCATTACTATCTCACTAGGGATATAGTTATAAAACGGAACAAGTTGAGTGATATACTTATATTACTAAATTAAGTTAAGTGCAATAGCTTTCGGAGTGTGCGGCGCAGGCGACGCGCCGCCTCCCCCGCGGCAGGACAGGGGTTCGTTGCGTTTATGGCGGTGGTGGGAGGCCTTTCATGGGGTTGCGGAGCGAGGGGCCGTAGACGCCGAAGTTTAGGGCAGACCCGAGGCTGAAGTTTCCTGGCGGGTCGGTGCGACCTGAGGACAGGTAGCCATGGGGCTACCTGAGCGGCTGCTCGAAGCATATACCGCCGGAGAAGAGGCCTTTTAGCCTTAGAGGCAGGCCGAGCCGGAACGTGCTTTAACTATATTATATTACGCGAAACTATATTACGGCTACATCTATCTTACTGCGACAGGGATACCG